ATGCACTATTTGTTCCGTGTTTTTCTATTATTAGTATTCTGTACCAGAGTGCAAACTCCCCTACAGCAAATGGTAAAACCATTACAGGTTCTCAAAGGCTTCACCACTTTCAATGTTGCTGGGCATCCTTTGCATGATTTTTACAGGCTAGACTGCTTATCAGAATGTAAGATTAAGGATTTAAAATTTTATATTTGAGTACTTAAGATTGAGCTTGAAATATCACAGCCGTGGCCACAGCCGTAGCCGTGTTCTTGGAGATATTTGCAGCCGCCCCGGCCCACAGCCGTGGGGCTGCAGCCAGCCGCGGCTGCAGCCGGCCGGTGCAGACCTCTAGGTGGTGACGAAAACCGTGATATGGTTCATGCCGACAAAGATTTCGTGTCACTGGTAAGGGCGAGTCAGAAGGCCAGTGTGAAATATCTATTTGAGTGTTCTATACTGATGACAGGTCCGTGAGGGCTGCGCACCGCTCCTGCAAAGCAGGCCTTGGTGAAGTGTGCAGTCATGCCGCTGCCACTCTGTTCAAGATCCAAACGGCAGTGATAATGGGCCGGACAGAAAAGAGCTGCACCAGTAGGGCATGCGAATGGAACTGTAAGTTCAAAAAGAAGGTTGAGCTAAGCTCAGCACCATGGCGGCCGCTATCAGCAAGGAAGCTGGGCTCAACAGTCAACATGCCTCCAGCGGTGGAAAGGAGCCCTCCGTTGAAGTGTTATTAGAATACGTCATTAAAGGAGGCAATCGTGACGCACGCTGCACCATAATTGTATTAAAAAAGGTAGAGTGATGATAGCGACAGGCGTCGTAAGGTCAAGGGCGAGAATCGCAAGTTTGGTGTGAGCTGAGGACTGAGCATTTTTCGGTGGTGTTTGGAATGGATATCGCCTTGCTAAAAGGCATTACGGCTGTTCAAGGGCATGGCATCGAGCCTATCTGTGAAGTGGACTAGCTGCGATATAAGGAGAAGCTCACCGTATACGAAAGAAGGCTTCCTGATCCATACTATCAGATCGCCAATGGTGATAGAAAGAAGAAGCTTGCCGGCTGCTGACTGAACAGCTGGTTAGAGCTGGCGGCGGGTCGGCGGTGGGGTGCGGCGACGGTGCGCCCGTGCAGGGTATGACGTCACTGCGGACGTGCTCGCGTCGCCGTTCGATCATGTTGCCGAGCGTCGTCGGCCTGTGGGTGGTGCGTCCCGGGTGCGGCCGCCACTGGCGACGCGGGTCAATGCCGCCCTATACTCTGGCTATCCTCGGCTGAGGAGTGTTTTGGTGCCGAAGCCCGGGAGGGAGTGTTTTGGTGCCGAAACCCGGGAGGAGGCCAGGCCAGCTCGCTGCTTAGTCAGGCCCAGGACATGATGGCTGGAGCGAGAATGACTCTGACAAAGTGTGTCTCTAACAGCGCAGTTGTATTAACAAGACTCACGCCGCTAACGGCTCAGGCGAGCGTGACAGCGCTAAGGTTCTAGGGGTCATGTGGCGCAGCGGTAAGAGGCCATTCTTATAAAGAAAAAGGACGGAGGGACGGAAGGAAAAAAAGAACTCAATGAATTAAGCGATTCCGTCTTTTTTGGTTATCATAAAGGTTCCGTCCCTCTATCCCTCCCCCTCCGTTGTTTTGCTAGGATGCGTTTTTCGTCTAAATGATCAAGAGCTTTAGTAAATGAAACAGGAACTAGTTCCTGCAATATTTTCTTATAAATTTCGTCACAAAGAATGCAATAAGGCTAAGAAAATATTGTGTGATCGCTATATAGGTATAATAAAATGAGAACCTGCAATTATTTGGGATCATATTTGAATTTTTATGGGACCGGGGTCTGTTGTCTGCTACGATACATAGCCTTGGCTACGATCAAGGATAATATAGATAAGCGAAGTATGTAATATGTTGTAGTCTTTCCTTCTAGGCTGACACCCACCAGATTTTTTTGCGTATAAATGTGGTAATGCCTATGTCTTACTCAGTGATAGGGTGTCTAATAAGCCGTAAGGGAACAACGCATACACCCTGAGTTAGCGTGGCGGCTCGGGACAGGCGGTAGAGATAAAAGAGGAGGGGATACTGATACGGCATCTTATCAGCTAGGGGACGACGCGGCGCGCGGCGAACGCGCGCGGCGGCTCGGGATGAAAGGGAGGGAGAGAGGGAAGGAGTAGGTAGAGAGAGACGGGTGGCGCAGGTGTTGTTTTGACGACCTGACGCTAAAGAGGGGGGAGGGGGAGTAGGGGAAAAATGGCCTGTGGATCTCTGTGTGGGGACAGCGAGGACAGTCCAGCGAGAGCGCTTGAGCCTGGCGGAGTGTATACGAATTTCTCTGCGTGCAAACAAGAACTTTAAGTGCTAACGAGAAGTTGTAGTGCCACGTGATTCAGACCTCCAACCGTGATATCAGTCGAGGCGGACACAGGACACAGGCCAGGTGAGGGTGGAGCTACTGGGAGGCAGTTGCAAACACCTACCACTTACTGGATATTGCATCTCAATGTGTCCAATCCTGCCTGTTCATGTGTATGCCTGATAAACAACGATAGCTGCAGAACGATAAGGTGGCGGTCTATAGGTACTTGGTCTGCATGTCAAATTGACTAATTTTCGTGTGAAATAACTCCCGACCAATGTCATACAGTTCACATATCGATTAGCATGCAGTCTGAAACATATTTCGCACAACTTGCTCTTGCAAACAGCTAAAAGTCGTACCAATGCCGTGAAGAGCAGCGCTATTTCTGATGCGTTATTTTTCACGAACAACGCAAAGTCTTACGTCACCAGAGGCGTCTTTGTCTCTTTATGATACGGAAACGCGTCCTTTTGGGTGGGGGTAGCGTCAATCTGGCTTCGTTCTTTTAATGGGTTCCGTCTTGCGTCTTCGTCCTTTTATGATAACCAAATTCCATCTACGAGTAATCTCAGAAATGACGGAGCGTCCCTCCGTTCTTTTCTTTATAAGAATGGCCAGAGGACGTGTTCTCGTACGAGGGCCTCACAGTCCCCGCTGATGTAACGCCGACCAAACGTGTAGTGCCCAGTTGCATAGCTCGGCTTTTCGACCCGCTGGAGTTTGTGGCTCCGTATAGTGGGCAGTGGCCAAGAGTCTGTTCCAAGAGCTTTGGCAACTGGGGCTCGCCTGGGATCAGGTCATCCCGGCAGACCGTAGTCAGATCTTTTCAGATTGGCTGTGAGGTGTTGATTTCCTGAAGCAGCTACGGATACCGCGCTGCTACTCGACTGTCGGCTGGCGACACGGTGAGGTTGAGGCCTGCATCAATTCCCGACCGCTCACTCCGATGACCGACTCGTTGAAGGGTGACAGTCCGCCGACGCCCTCCCATTTTTTGACGGGACGCGGCACAGGCTTTCAGTCGAGAGTGCTCGAGGATCCGGAGGCAGTGAAGGCCAAGATGCTTTGTGACAGGGCACGTGTGAGATAGAGACGACTAAACCGCTTTTGGTCTGTTTGGCAAACTGAATACCTGCGGATCCCCCCCCCCCCTCAGTCGGTCAGGTTCAGAGGTAGGTTCAGAGATCACGGTGAGTTAAGACAGGGTTCCGGCAGCTATAGGGCGCGCACGTAGCCCGACGTCGCGCCCGCCAGAGCAGTTCGGCACCGACGACGGACCGCGGCGGACACGCGCGAAACTGTTCAGCCCAGCGTGAATGCATCCGTTCATCCAACAGTACGAGGGAATTTACAATACCGACGGCAGCCCGAGACAGCCACAGCAGTGCTCTTCAAGGCACGGGTGGCTATGTTGCTGGGTCTCAACAAACTTCAGCTACAAGCACAGCCTGTCAGTGGAACAGACAGTTTCGGTTTCGGAAGACCCTGAGTGCTGCCAAGATGCGAGACGTCACGCTCACTCGCAAAGGAAAAACAAAGAGAAAGTGTGTTCGAGAAAAAACGTACCGTGCCGTGGAGCGACGGCAGCGCGCGGCGGGCACAGCCGAGCCTCACCGTCCACGTGGTCCTCTGGGGCCCGCGGGGTCATCTGGAGCACATATGTGTGCTGACCAGCCCCAACGCGCCGGGCCGGCCGCAGCCGGCCGGCTCGGCAGTTCGCGGCGAAACGACGACGACGGCGCGGCTCCCTCGTACAATACGATTGACGTGCATTGTGTGACGAACAATAAAAAAATAGACATTCATCAAATAACTCTTTTAGTCCTCCGGTTCATGAAACGATTTGATTAGATACGCAGACTCTTCGTGAATGACCACGAATCACACGAACAAACTGTGCGAGACACACACTCTCCCAGAGCCAGCTGAGATCAATCGAGAAGGAGGCTGAAGCATTTGAAAAATAAAACGAGTGTGCTTTCATGCTGCGTGTTGATGCAGAGCGCTCTACACTGTGTCAGCGCGCCTGGTCAGGCCGTTCACCCGCAGCGGGTGCTGGGGCGCTGTGGGCTGCCATTCAACGAAAAGGCCGCCGAGATCGCCGAGGAGGCAAAACTGTACCTCATGGTGACACCCTAAAGCCCTTTAAATGCGCAGTATTTTGGCTTACATATTATCGAATTGCAGTGCTGACGGTCGGTGAATGCATCAATTAGTTGGGAGGGGGGAGTCGTCTGTTGTGTCGTCACAAATATACTCGGCAAGTAGTGTCGAGATCAGGTAACCATCCCGCCACGGTGCCTTCAACGTGACACGGCGATCAGCGGCGATGGGCGGCCACATGTTCATTGGACTCAAAGTGCCGCGAAGATAAACTGTGGAGGACATTCAAAACATACTCCAAGTGTTCCCAAGAAAGACGCAAAGCCTCACGTGTAAGAGGCGACGAATTGCCTGCGATGGACTGTTCCTTGCCGGCAGGTATGGCCCAAAGCAGAGTAAGGGCTCGGTGCGAGTACAATCGGTGGATTAAATAAAGCGTGTCGACTGTCGGGTCTGGCTTCGCCTAAGTCCGATCCCACCCAGCCTGGCCGATTTCTCGCCCGGATACGCTCGGCCCGAGCAGCGCGGAGGCGGGCTGTCTGCCCGTTACCTGGGCTCAGGTGGGCTGCTCCAGGCGGACGTCTGCCAGTTTGCGGCGCAGGTCCCGGTAGGCGGGGCTCCACTCGCCGTAGTGGATGGTGAAAATGCCCAGTCCGTTTTCGGCGAGCCGCTGTAGCTCGTCAGACAGCTCTCTGTAAAACAACGCAGACGCAAGGGCTGTCAAACAACCAGTAGGACACCCGCCCAGACACATCACTTCTCACTGCCCCACGCAGTTCACTCGTCATAGAAAATTATGGAGTTAATCCAGAAATGGAAAAATATAGGGGACGCAGAATCAGGCGATTTTGGATAAAAAGCATACAGTTAGGTTGGCAACTAGTGCTTAGTCTGTTATGAGCATGTAGAGCAAACATATTAGCACGTTACTAGCATGAAAGAGAGCAGCACCGTCAAGTCCTCTTATTGCAACAGCCTTAGCTACCCCTGCCTCTCCTCTGCACCACCCAGCCGTACGGGGTCGGCCGCCGGACTCAGCGTACCCCACCCACCCCTGAGCGACCACCACCTTTGCCCTACCTGCGCGTCTCTATAGTCCGGGCCTCGCGGACAGCCAGCACCAGCACATCGGTGGTAGTCAGGAGCAGGTTTCCCAGTTCGACACTGTCAGCGCCGTATCGCGCCTCTGCGCTGGCCATGTTTGGCCGCAGACTCTCCAGAGCCCGCGTCGGATCACCTGCAGGCCGCGGAGACACGGGCGGTTAGTTGGTGTGGCCGACCAGTAAATAGTCGTAAATAGTAAATAGTAAATAGTCGGACAAGTCTGGACAAATAAAAAAGCAGCAATGTCTGAGATAGGATACACCAGAAACAGCCAATAGGATGGTACTGACACGTGCCACAAGGCCCATAAAACATCGACTGTGATAAAATTCGAATATCCGTTCACAGTAAGTAGGTGCATATTTTGCGTATAACGCAATAAGGAAGCCACGCATACATGTCAAGGCCTAACTTCTCTTTACACTAGGAGCATCTGGTTATTTACATACTATACCATTCAACTCTCATGACCTAGCAGGCGCACCAGATGTTTCCCAGCGCCCAAACTAACCGATTCTGGTGCAGGTGTTGGCACGCAGGTCGTGCAGAATATACAGAGTCTCGTGGCTCGGCTGGGCCAGTGCGGCCGCCTCCCTCAGAAGTTCGTCCAGTCTGCAGACCACCTGGCGATCGCCGGAGTCTCCGCCGGAACTCGCCACTGTCGGTCAGTCGGGTGAACGCGATTAGTGGGGACGGGACTTGATTTAGAGACCTCGATTAGGAATAGAGTGGAGCTGATCTGATCGGACGAGAAGTATTGAGCAACGACACGCCTTCCGCTCCGTCAGAATGGAAAGCTAAGCGGAAAGGAAAGCTAAGCTAAATAGAAAGCTAAGCGCAACAGCTCCGACAGAATGGAAAGCCAAGCGAAACATTCATTTAACGCAACTATCCAGTAAACATATATGTTCTGTATACACATGGCAAACTAACACACAGTACATATAATGACCAAAGTCGCACACACCTTGTTCAGCCTCAGCCTCGATCCGCTGCAGCCGCTGCTGCCGGTCGCTGTAGCAGAGTGTGCGGCGGCACTTCAGGCAGCGGCGCCGCTCCCCGCTGGCCTCACCAACAGGCAGGGTCGCTCCACCGCAGTCCGCACACCGGAGGGCGTTCAGCCGCTCCTGAACAGACAGACAAGTGCTCAGATAACTCTTATGACTATCAGTGGTAGTTCGGTAAATGAAGCATATGTAAATGACAACCATTAGATTTAGACCGAACCATCAAACTAGATTGGCATATACCTTAGTAACCCTGCACCATTTTTTTTTTTCACTCAGTATCACAACTCCAATACAATATCCAACTCTGTTTGAGTCCCATGACAGACAAAAAGCTAAGTGGAACCGGGATGCCAGTCTAGACCGTCGCCGAGAGCTGAGTGCAGAGCCACAAATCAGCAGTAGCCCACGGTTCTACCCACCAGGTGGTGCGCCAGCTCTGGCCGCGTGCAGTGCTCGCAGTCGCAGGTGAAGTGGTACTGCTCCAGCAACTGTCGGTGCCGCTCGGATGGCGCACCGCGCGCATAGTGGGGTCCGTAACAGTGGTACACCTCGGCGCCCGCTGATAGCGACTTGATGCTGCGCACGATCAGGGTGTTGCCCCAGAAACTGACGGAGAAAGGAGTACAGACATCGGTACACTGCGGCAAACGTAATCAAAAAGCACCATCCGAGACGTTGCTGGTCATAAACGCTATGTCCTCCAAATTAATGTCATTGCTTAGTACCATTGGCATTTGATACCACATGATACCACTTCTTGTCAAGTCCTGCAGATCAGAAAGCCGAGAGGCAATATCCATTGTCCACGAGCCAGAGATCAGCTGAACACACGCAATGCTATAACTGTCCAGAGACCTGCCGCGCGCGACAAGTAACCACTGGCCATCCCCCTACCTGTTAATGATGCTGGGGTCGCAGCTGTGGTTCATATAGCTGGCCGACGGGTAGATCGCCGTGGCGATACGTTGTTCAGAGAGCTGCACCACCCCTCCGTCACCATCACCATCGCTGGGCAGCGGCACCAGCTTGGTGGGCGCGTGCGCGTTACACACCAGCTGCAGGATGTGTCGCAGCAGCAGCGCCGCCGTCCAGCGCAGCGCCCAGTCCGGCGGACCGGCCGACCCGGCGCCGGCGCCGAAAAACGCCGTCCGCTCCGCCAGGAACACGGCCAGAGTGGCGGCCGCCTGCCGGGAGAACAGTCAGTCAGCAATCAAGGAAGACATCGAAAGGTAAGTCTGAGCGTCGTTACACAGCGACGCTAGACAAACGAAAAGTAGTCGAAAATAAATGCCGATATAATCGCAAATTGTGCGAAAGAAAAACTAGATCGCCAGGTCGCACGTTATGCACTTAGCGATAGTGCCGTCCAACAAGCCTAGAGCACCAATGGATCTAGTAATATCGACTTTAGTGCACCCACTGTGACACCCCAGTCTGGTCTCCATCGCACCTCCCGCCTGCCTCCCGCCGCCCGCGTACCCGTCCGTAGTGGTAGGCGTCCTCTGTGTGACACTCGGCCAGGTGATGCACCAGGTGGAAAACCGACAGGTACCGGTCCCCATCGGGCCGGTAGCAGCTGCAGATGTCGGCCCGGCAGCTGCTGCCCACAGCTGCCAGCTGCGTCCGCAGCGCCAGCACCCGCTGCCAGCCGGCAGTCAGCAGCACGCGCACGGCCGCCCGTCCGATACCGAACGCTTCCAGAAAGGAGGCGTGGCCACACTCGGCCGCGTGGTAGACGGCACCGGCCTCGTCCCGGCAGGCGGCGCTGCAGAAACCCACGTCCGGGCACCGCAAGCACCTGTGGCACGGTCAGACGCAGTTGGAGATAAACCAGACGCAGTCAATGACACTCTTACTGAAGGAGTGTTATGAACCAATGACTAGCGGGCAATATCAAATTGAAAAAATGCTGGTGCATATCGATATATCAGCTCCAGAGCCACTTTCTGTTCTAGATCCAGTAATTAGCACATTTATGGTCAATGAATACATATGGGCGCACTATCTCCGCGCACATTCATCCAGTTACATCGACCTCGGTTCTCCAGACTCCAGTCTGCCATCGTACTCACGGTAGCAGCGCGTGTGTGTGTCGGAGGCAGTGGTGGCAGTGGTCCAGCCGCCGCTCCGGCAGCAGGACGCACACGTACGGCTCCTCAGCAAACAGCACGGCACCCTTGGCCACGGGGCGAGTTGTCACCACGTGCCGCCCCTTCCGCTCGCTCTGCCTGCGGCGGGAACGGTACGGGAGCGTATTCAGTGGCTCAGATAGTGAGAGTTAGTCTCAACACAAGATGATGAGATGGCAAGCTGAATAATGAAATCAAGGTACTTTAAAACTGAGCTTGATAAACCGACATCAATATCGTTTTATTTATGTATTTAAAAAAAAATTGGAACAATGAAATATACGGGTATTTCTCACATGATTAAAATACAGGATTCGATCAGAAATGTCCTAAACTCCACTCACCTGAGCTGCAGGGAGCTGGAGGCGCCAACCAGCGGCCCGCTGCCGCCCTCCAGCGCCGGCCGCGGTGTGGAGCTCTCGTCCTCCCCAGTCTCAGCACACCGGTCAGGGCCGTCTCCGGTCGCCGCCCGATCAATGTCCGCCGACAGAGCGTCCGCCTCCGCGGTCAGCTTATCTACGAGGCAGGACATCATCAAAAGTGGGTAAACTGGCTCCTTAAAGACACGACATTGATGTTTGGCCGGCTTGAAGGTTTCTGAAAGGCATCAGCGTTGAGCACTTTCGCAACATACTTGATTAAAAATAAAAAAGGCTAACTTAGTAGCTCTGACCTTTTGGATCTCGAGAAGAAGAAAAAACTTTGCTAGCACTCCCAGCTCACGCTGCCGCACTGACCTCTGGCGGACGGTCCCAGGCGTATGTTGTCCAGGGCCGACCGGTACTGGGCCAGGGCGGCACGAGACTGCTCCAGCCTCCCCAGCACTAGCAGGCAGCGGGCGCGCCGAACATGCAGCTTGTGGTGCCGGTCCGCCGGGTAGCCAGACTCGAGCGCGTGGGCGATGTCATCGAGGCTGTCCTGCAGGTCACGGTGCAGCAGCCATGCACACAGTTCAGGGAGGATGAATATTGAATAGATTCAATTCATTCCATCTTCTTTAAGAAGGGGGTGCTGCATAGCAAACTGAGAGAAAGTAAAATGTGGACAGCTGCAGATTAGCTCGTTTAAACATCAGTTTCAGTTTAACAGTAAGCGGTAAGTAAAAACGAATTAAGTTGATAAGTAAAGAAAAACGAAAACAAGAAATGCACAAGGTGCACGGTCAAATGCACGAGAAGATCGTGAAGCCGGCCGGGTCCGCACCTGGTGTCGCTGCAGGCGGTGGAGCGCTGCCGAACGGTTGGCCAGCGCGCCGCTCAGCGTCTCGGCGCTGTCGGCATTCAGAGCCGCCTCGCCGTACTGCTGCAGCGCCGCCGCGAACCGGCCGGAGCGGAAACTGGCGTTACCCCGCTCCCGGTGAGACACCGCCAGGGAATCGTCCTTCCGCCGCGGCGCTGACTGGCAGCTGCTCAGCTTCCCTCTGTGGGATGAATAGCTATTGTCAGATGGTCATATTTCACTTTGTTTGTTTACTGGAGCTTCAAGGAGAGATTGGCTGAGCTACTTCACATGGTCTTACAATTGACATTCAGCTAAATGATATTGAATTAGTTTTAGATTGATGACCACAGGGCTCAGTTTGAGCATATTTTCTTCGTTAGGTATGCATCATAACCAAAGGAGTGAAGAAGAGGCATTGAAATCGTTCACCTGGGCAAATACTTGTTAGGTATCATTTACCCCGCATTCGATGTCTCCCGGACGGCGAAGATTCTACGCCGTCCGGCCAATCACGTTCCATAACCGCAGCCGAGCCCCCGCTGACCTTGGACGGGATTGGCCGCACGACGTAGAATCTTCGTCGTCCGAGAGACATCGAACGCGGGGTTGATATCATTTATTTTTTTGTGCCCATTAAGTGTAAAACAAATAGGTACAACACCTAATGCTTTTCATTGACATGTTCAGACATGAGATGGAAACAATTGTGTTGCTATGTTAAAAGCACATACCAAACTGCCCATTAGTGTTTCAATAATATGAAAAGCAAACCAGACTAAGGCAGCAGTGCAGTCAGCAAGCATACCTGATCACTGCATCCTGGAAAAACCTGACTATGTAGTCTTCTTCAGTGATCATTTTAAAATCAGCTTCACATAAAGGATGAGCATCAACCAATCATTGCCTGAAAATCAGCAAAGGAGAGCTTATGAATGAGAGGAACCATAAAAACAATTGTTTATCTATCATCATTGGGCACTCATGGTTTTTAGATACTTAAAGGGACCCTCCCACCTTAACATTAGTTTTGAGTTGAGATAGCCAAGTTTGCGGCCAGGCTCAGAAACCACCATTTATCCTGGTCGCAACCCCCGCAGCTTTATGGTGTTCAAGAAATTTCTTCCCTTTACTTGCAGGGTGGGACCAGCGTGGTCCCTATCTCTTAACCATTACGGGAATCTGATGACGTCATCAGGCTTCCGAACGTCCGTTAAATGTTTGACTAAAACGTTTTGTAGCACGCGGTGGTATATGGTGCTTTGCGCGCAACAAATGCCGCACTTTCAAATAAAGTCGCTAGGAACAGCGGAGATCCCAAAAAGTAAACAAAAGTAAAAGTCTAATATCTTGAAAACCGGTGAATATTTTTCGATGAAATTTGGTAGATATTCGTTTTTGCTCTTTCTGAACCGAGCGACATCACTTTCATGCCAATTCATTAACTTTTTTGAAGGTGGGAGGGTCCCTTTAAAGGAAATAGTTCACTTTTAACATGGGGTTTTGAGCTGGAATAGCAGTTTCGTAGCTTGAGCTGAGACTAGCACAAATCAGGAGCTTTTACGGCTCAACGATCACCCTAGACGAAGATATTCCATTTCTCGTTCCGAAAAGAGTGCCTTGTAGAGGAATGCGTGCCTTGCACAGGAATGCAGCCACGTCATCGTCAGCCAATCAGCGTGCTGCTTACAGCCAATGCAGTATGCGTAGGTTTGAGCTACGCAATATGATTGGTCAATGCGTAATAAGCTTCCGCGTCAAACATTATTTTACATAGAATATATGAAATAATATTTTCGGAGTTTCTTGAGTGATATATATTGAAAAACTGATAGCAAATATTTCGATACTCGTAGTGGTACCTTTTTCAATGCGAGTGAAAAAGAAACTCAAGAAATATCACTCAAGATCACTCATATCATATCAAGAAACTCCGAAAATATTATTTCATATTCATTATAACTTGAGGAAAAGGTAACATGACTCTTAAGTCATACATTACATAGAATATAGTTCGTCCTATATTAAAATATAGAAAATAATTGTTTTTACAAAAAGGTTTTATTTTATTTCATGATTATTTTGAGCATAAAAAATCATAAATCAATAGCAAAATACTGATTTCAGTAAAGTGGACTGTTTCCTTTAAAAGCAGTCCATTATCCAGCATTGCAGCACCAGAAAATGTCAAGTTAAATTCAAATATGCGTTTCTCACTTTGTATTAGGTTGTCCCTAAGTTGAAATCAGAATTAGCAATTGTATTTCAACAACAAATTAGCACAATTTTTATTTGAGTTCAGAGTTAAATACGAATAACAGCAATGCTTATTGTTTAGTAAACAATGCATTGGCATAGGCATCGGCATAGGCTTTATCTTATATGTTTTATCATCAGAAAATTTTCCTGTTTGATCTATATGCCCATTTTGAGCCGATTTGAAATTGTCCGGAATCTGCATGCAGATTCGGAATTCGGAAATTCCGGGAAAAGTTTCATATGTGCCGCGGAACGGACTTCGGATTCGTGATCAGCGTATCCTGTTTGGTCTATATGCCCATTTTGAGCCGATTTGAAATTGTCCGGAATCCGCATGCAGATTCAGAATTCGGAAATTCCGGGAAAAGTTTCATATGTGCCGCGGAACGGACTTCGGATTAGTGATCAGCGTATCCTGTTTGGTCTATATGCCCATTTTGAGCCGATTTGAAATTGTCCGGAATCTGCATGCAGATTCAGAATTCGGAAATTCCGGGAAAAGTTTCATATGTGCCGCGGAACGGACTTCGGATTCGTGATCAGCGTATCCTGTTTGGTCTATACGCCCATTTTGAGCCGATTTGAAATTGTCCGGAATCTGCATGCAGATTCGGAATTCGGAAATTCCGGGAAAAGTTTCATATGTGCCGCGGAACGGACTTCGGATTCGTGATCAGCGTATCCTGTTTGGTCTATATGCCCATTTTGAGCCGATTTGAAATTGTCCGGAATCTGCATGCAGATTCGGACTTCGGAAATTCCGGGAAAAGTTTCATATGTGCCGCGGAACGGACTTCGGATTCGTGATCAGCGTATTCTGTTTGGTCTATATGCCCATTTTGAGCCGATTTGAAATTGTCCGGAATCTGCATGCAGATTCGGAATTCGGAAATTCCGGGAAAAGTTTCATATGTGCCGCGGAACGGACTTCGGATTCGTGATCAGCGTATCCTGTTTGGTCTATATGCCCATTTTGAGCCGATTTGAAATTGTCCGGAATCTGCATGCAGATTCGGAATTCGGAAATTCCGGGAAAAGTTTCATATGTGCCGCGGAACGGACTTCGGATTCGTGATCAGCGTATCCTGTTTGGTCTATATGCCCATTTTGAGCCGATTTGAAATTGTCCGGAATCCGCATGCAGATTTGGAATTCGGAAATTCCGGGAAAAGTTTCATATGTGCCGCGGAACGGACTTCGGATTCGTGATCAGCGTATCCTGTTTGGTCTATATGCCCATTTTGAGCCGATTTGAAATTGTCCGGAATCTGCATGCAGATTCGGAATTCGGAAATTCCGGGAAAAGTTTCATATGTGCCGCGGAACGGACTTCGGATTCGTGATCAGCGTATCCTGTTTGGTCTATATGCCCATTTTGAGCCGATTTGAAATTGTCCGGAATCCGCATGCAGATTCAGAATTCGGAAATTCCGGGAAAAGTTTCATATGTGCCGCGGAACGGACTTCGGATTCGTGATCAGCGTATCCTGTTTGGTCTATATGCCCATTTTGAGCCGATTTGAAATTGTCCGGAATCCGCATGCAGATTCAGAATTCGGAAATTCCGGGAAAAGTTTCATATGTGCCGCGGAACGGACTTCGGATTCGTGATCAGCGTATCCTGTTTGGTCTGTATGCCCATTTTGAGCCGATTTGAAATTGTCGGAATCTGCATGCAGATTCGGAATTCGGAAATTCCGGGAAAAGTTTCATATGTGCCGCGGAACGGACTTCGGATTCGTGATCAGCGTGTCCTGTTTGGTCTATATGCCCATTTTGAGCCGATTTGAAATTGTCCGGAATCTGCATGCAGATTCGGAATTCGGAAATTCCGGGAAAAGTTTCATATGTGCCGCGGAACGGACTTCGGATTCGTGATCAGCGTATCCTGTTTGGTCTATATGCCCATTTTGAGCTGATTTGAAATTGTCCGGAATCCGCATGCAGATTCAGAATTCGGAAATTCCGGGAAAAGTTTCATATGTGCCGCGGAACAGACTTCGGATTCGTGATCAGCGTATCCTGTTTGGTCTATATGCCCATTTTGAGCCGATTTGAAATTGTCCGGAATCTGCATGCAGATTCAGAATTCGGAAATTCCGGGAAAAGTTTCATATGTGCCGCGGAACGGACTTCGGATTCGTGATCAGCGTATCCTGTTTGGTCTATATGCCCATTTTGAGCCGATTTGAAATTGTCCGGAATCCGCATGCAGATTCAGAATTCGGAAATTCCGGGAAAAGTTTCATATGTGCCGCGGAACGGACTTCGGATTCGTGATCAGCGTATCCTGTTTGGTCTATATGCCCATTTTGAGCCGATTTGAAATTGTCCGGAATCTGCATGCAGATTCGGAATTCGGAAATTCCGGGAAAAGTTTCATATGTGCCGCGGAACGGACTTCGGGTTCGTGATCAGCGTATCCTGTTTGGTCTATATGCCCATTTTGAGCCGATTTGAAATTGTCCGGAATCCGCATGCAGATTCAGAATTCGGAAATTCCGGGAAAAGTTTCATATGTGCCGCGGAACGGACTTCGGATTCGTGATCAGCGTATCCTGTTTGGTCTATATGCCCATTTTGAGCCGATTTGAAATTGTCCGGAATCCGCATGCAGATTCAGAATTCGGAAATTCCGGGAAAAGTTTGATATGTGCCGCGGAACGGACTTCGGATTCGTGATCAGCGTATCCTGTTTGGTCTATATGCCCATTTTGAGCCGATTTGAAATTGTCCGGAATCTGCATGCAGATTCGGAATTCGGAAATTCCGGGAAAAGTTTCATATGTGCCGCGGAACGGACTTCGGATTCGTGATCAGCGTATCCTGTTTGGTCTATATGCCCATTTTGAGCCGATTTGAAATTGTCCGGAATCCGCATGCAGATTCAGAATTCGGAAATTCCGGGAAAAGTTTCATATGTGCCGCGGAACGGACTTCGGATTCGTGATCAGCGTATCCTGTTTGGTCTATATGCCCATTTTGAGCCGATTTGAAATTGTCCGGAATCCGCATGCAGATTCAGAATTCGGAAATTCCGGGAAAAGTTTCATATGTGCCGCGGAACGGACTTCGGATTCGTGATCAGCGTATCCTGTTTGGTCTATATGCCCATTTTGAGCCGATTTGAAATTGTCCGGAATCTGCATGCAGATTCGGAATTCGGAAATTCCGGGAAAAGTTTCATATGTGCCGCGGAACAGACTTCGGATTCGTGATCAGCGTATCCTGTTTGGTCTATATGCCCATTTTGAGCCGATTTGAAATTGTCCGGAATCCGCATGCAGATTCAGAATTCGGAAATTCCGGGAAAAGTTTCATATGTGCCGCGGAACGGACTTCGGATTCGTGATCAGCGTATCCTGTTTGGTCTATATGCCCATTTTGAGCCGATTTGAAATTGTCCGGAATCTGCATGCAGATTCGGAATTCGGAAATTCCGGGAAAAGTTTCATATGTGCCGCGGAACGGACTTCGGATTCGTGATCAGCGTATCCTGTTTGGTCTATATGCCCATTTTGAGCCGATTTGAAACTGTCCGGAATCTGCATGCAGATTCGGAATTCGGAAATTCCGGGAAAAGTTTCATATGTGCCGCGGAACGGACTTCGGATTCGTGATCAGCGTATCCTGTTTGGTCTATATGCCCATTTTGAGCCGATTTGAAATTGTCCGGAATCTGCATGTACGAGATTGATATCAATCTGCATGCAATTATTCGAACGTCGAAAACACGCGGTCGTTGGCAGCGTCCGCGCCATCAAAAGTCGCATTGACGCAGCATCTGTCTGAAAATGGTCGAGATTATTCAACTGCCATTTTTCAGTCCTGCGATGCAAGAGGGCCTCGACAGATCGCTGAAACGAGAAATCGCAATTGAAGAAAGTTCATTGAGTTTGGTTTTTAAATTGCTATTTAGGCTGATGCATTAAACTTCTGTGACCTTGGTGAGATCAACTAGACTCCTCTGCCAAAGCCAGTTCTGCCAATTAGCGCTACCTAGCGCTAATTAGCTATTAGCTATTAGCGGCTAGCGCTAATTTTTACAGAGTAGTTCGACACAAGGCTACCAACTATGCGTTCGACGTTAGTGGACCAATGTACGATGACCATCCTACGCACCTGTATGATCATCTGATGTATAGATTGCTATTCAGCCGGGGCTCGTCCATCTCGTTGACGGCTTCAGTGGCGTTCGGGCCGAGGTTGTGCTCTTCTGCAGCTGCCGTCTTCTCCACGATTCCGGCCAGCATGGCTCCCTGGGCCGACCGGCATCCCCCCGCCGACACTGGACCACCCGGCCGGCCCCGCCTCCACCAACTGAAGCCCCTGAAGCCTCTCGGGCTTGGCTCTCTCGCTCCTCCACGCTCGGTCGCTGACGCGCCCGTGGCCGCCGCAGGGCGACTCGCTCCCCCGGTCAGCAGAGGCGTCTCCAGGCACCGGCGCGGAGCAGCCGTCTCGGTCTCACCCGGTTCTCAGTGCCAGTACCTAATTGGTGGGTTCTGCCGCTTTTTTGAAAACTGTGCCGGTGCCTCTGCCACAGAGCACATAGAGATATTTGCTCACAAAGCCGACCATCGAGCCTCCTGACGCAGACGTCGGCACCCTTTGATATGTGCGACCTAGGGGTGTTAATGATCCCGCTGCGGAACGTGAGCTGGTCAACGGGGCGTTTGTACAGCCAAATGGGGTCCATTAGCGCCGCCAATGGGTAAAGCGTCCCTTTCTATGGTCCACCGCTGCTGACCCAAACAGCTTTCTCGGAGCCCGGCTCCCGGTACCTAATAACGCCGAGCTACTATTCGATTTGAGACAGACTTAGCCGGTTCCAATAGCAAAAGCGCTTGCTTTGTACTATAGAAAAGAAATATCAGATATACTTGTCCGAGCAACGCTGAATGCTGTTTTACCGTATTATGAGATTTTACCGTATTATGAGATGTCAATTGATTTAATCATTTAACCATGGGATGGTTATAACAGCGTTGTGACGCGGGTGAGACGGTACCGCCCCGACCTCCGAGGGTGTGCGCCGGCTCATTCCGTGTCAAACCGGCGACTCTGCCCGAGCTGTCGGCTGCGCTGAGCCAGCTGGGTTCGTCGAGGGCGTGTGGCGAGGATGGTGTCACTGTGCAGTTGATCCGATTGACCTTCCCTGTGATCGCGCCACATTTGCTGTATATTGTGAACGACTCGCTTGTGTCCGGCACGGTGCCGACAGCGTGGAAATCTGCCGTCATTACTCCACTTTTCAAAGGTGGTGACCGTTCTGAGCCAAATAATTTTAGGCCAATTTCGATTTTGTCCGTTGTAGGTAAACTCTGTGAGCGTGTAGTTGGAAATCAGTTAATGTCATATTTAAGCGAACATCATATACTTTGCGCTGAACAGCATGGCTTCCGCCCGGGCCACTCCACGGAGTCGGCGATGCTGTGCGCTGTTGACAGGCTTGTCAGCAGCATGGACCGTGGCCTCGTCTCCACGTTGACGACGACAGACACGTCCAAAGCGTTTGACAGCGTGCAGCATTGCCGGCTCCTGGAAAAGCTCGGATGGTATGGTGTGGATGACCATTGGTTCCGCGGTTGGCTCGAAGGCCGAACGCAGCGTGTGGCGGGGTGTACAACGCCAGTGGCGGTGACACATGGCGTGATCCAAGGGAGTACTTTGGGACCGATCTTGTTTTTACGATTTACCAACGATTTACCTTCTTTTATTCGCCACGGACAGCTCATCATGTATGCCGACGACGCGCAGTTTATCGATGCGGATGCTCCGGCCAACGTGGGTGACCTCCGTACTAGAGTAGAGAACACGCTCAAAATTGTTTTGAATTGGTTTACTCAAAATCGTTTAAAAATTAATCCCTCAAAAACAGATCTCTTGGTCGTGAAGTCTAAGCGAATTCACTTAGAAATCAACGAAACATTTAAAATTCATTTTGGGGAACAGCTCATCAGTCCTTCTCCTTCTGTGAAGGTTCTTGGCATAACTTTGGACTCTTATCTCAATTGGGACCTCCAGATATCTGCCGTCATCAGGCGCTGTTATGGCATGTTGGTGGGACTTGCAAAGCTGAGCCACCGACTACCACACGAGACCAAAAAAGTTATCATCGAAGGGCTTGTTTATCCCCACATCACTTACTGTCTGACCGTTTGGGGCGGCTGCACCAAAACCCAAAAGTATAGGATCCAGAAAGTTCTAAATTTTGGTGCCAGGATCATCACCGGACTAAAGAAGTCTCAGCATATTACTCCCGCTTTAAAAGAACTGGGATGGCTCAAAATTGATGAGCTGATTACTAAATGTGACTTGGCGGCACTTTGTCGGATTCTGGGGTCACCTGAGTCGCCTGAGCATCTCCGCACGATGATTGTGTCCCGTTCAGATGTATCAGAAAGGACCACGCGGGGATCGGAGAGTATGCTGCTGCAAATGCCACGCGTGCGCACAGAACTCGCTCGCCGTGCATTTATGTGCCGGGCTACCACCGCCTGGAACCGCCTGCCAGCCGAGCTCAGGAGGAGTCGTTTACTGTGTCACCCACGGAGGTGAATCGCGAGACATGGGGAGTAGATGTGCTCAGTTTTATCGCATTTTAGCAATTTATAGTGATTTTTAAACCATCATTTTTTCGTGTTTTATGAACATGTTCACTGTGTTTAACTAATGTACTGACTCTGAAATCGGAAGAGCCACGATGTGGAGATTTTTATGAATACAATACATACATACATACATACGTTTTAAAAATAGCCAATCTCAATTCAATCGAACTAAAATAAACAAACGAGATGCGACTGCGAGTTTCGGGTAAACGGTTGAATACATGTTCACCGTTTGGGCAACGACATAGGCGTAGGAACGTTTTCGAAAGTGGGGGGGCCAGGCTCCCAGAGGTCTAAAACCTAACCTACCCCCAAAATCCAATTTCTCCTCGGATTTCGGCCACTTTGTTTTCGCAAACATGCTCAGAGGTAAAGAAAAAAATCGAGACAAATACAAAAATAAAATTGGTTAAATTTCAGGGAGACTCCCGTCCATAAACTCAAACTGATGAACGCGTTCCCCTGTCCTCCGCAGCCGTTGGCACCCATAGAAATTCCATAGGCATCCAGCAACTTTTTATTACGAGCAAGCGTGAAATGTGTAAAGCGAGTCTTTTCAATATACCTATAAAAATTAGCATGAACGGCCCAGCTAAGCTCAGCCAGGCCTGTAACGTTTTTAAGAGATTTTATATTAGCGACCACTGCAACTGGGCTGATTGACTGTCAGAGGCCGGTGTGGGACTTTTACAGGCCGGTCTGGGCCCTCAGAGGCCAGTTTAACCCTCGCCGGCCCGTACCTATAAGTTTTCTACATACGCGCCGGCCGAGGGGGCGGGGAGCAGGTACGACCCCTCTCGCCATTTCGCCCCAGGTGGAGATAGCGCGTCGCGGAAAAACGAGCGTGTGCGCCGTTACGAGACGCAGAGATCGATACCCGATTTTAAGGTCCTAGGTCAACCGGTGACCTGAGGTCAAGTCAAGTGCCTCAAGGCACGGTTCCGTTTTTGGTGAATAGTTTCGCAAAAAACGGCCGCAGAGCCGCGATTTTGCCAGCATCGTGTTCGCCTCTCTCAGGCTCGTCGAATGATATGCTTTTTGTTTGGGTGAGGTAAACTTAGGGTGTTGACCTCGGGTCACGGTCAGGTCAGCGCCCCCAGGTCACGAAATTGGTCGAATGAGGTCATGTCTCATAGCATTCGATTCGGAAGGTCTTCTTGAGTCCATTGGTGGCTTTTCCGACTCGCTAGCTCAATTTGATCGGTAGTTATTGACGAAAAACTAATATGACCCTTATAAGGTCATAAATGACGTCGCGCAAGGTCAACATTGCAAAAGTGACAGATCAAACCTTGCAAGGAGTGCATGAAATCACGATTCGGTGTGCTTGAGATAGTTGGAGATCGTTCCCGGCGCCAGAAAAAGTTTTCAGTTTATCCCCATTGACTTATACCTAATGGTGAGGTCACGAAAATGACCTGACCTCATATGACCTATAGGAAAATCCGAGACGTACAAGTTGTGAGACTCCTAATGGATACTAGGTCCTGCAAGGTTCATTTCCCTGTGAAATCTCCTCTGGCAGCAAGGGCGTTGCGAAGTTGCGACATCTGAAGACCGTGCAGAGGTTCACTTATGACCTCATAGGTCAGTGACCTGATCTGACCCGAAAATGCGGTTGGTGTCAAAAGATCCGGCTTGATTCAAAGGTCAGATATGCCAAGCTTCAGCTCTCTATCGCCGGCGTGTTCGGAGCTATCGCAAAAAAAAACTATGGAGGGGCGGCACCTCCCCCCCCCCCTCGGCCGGCGAGGGTTAAGGCCATCAGAGACCCCAGTACAGGGCCTGCAAAGAGCAGTTTGAGACCTTTAGATGCCGACTTGGGCCATCAGAGGCTAATGTGGGTCCCTACAGGCCAGCATGGGTCCTCAGAGGTCAGTATGGGACCCTAAAATGCCGACATGGGCCGGCGTTGGTCCCCAGAGGCCAGCAGAAGGCCCTCAAAAACCAAGATGGGCCTCTGAGGCCAGCATCGGTCTTCAGAATCCAGTGCAAGGACCTCAGAGGCTAATGTGGGTCCTTACAGGCCAGCATGGGCCCTTAGAGGTCAGTGTGGGGCCGTAACAGACCGGCGTGGGCCGGCGTTGGACCCCTAAGGCCAAGATGGACCCTCAGAGGCCGATGCGGACTCTTAGAGGCCGGCATCGGGTCTCCAGAATTCAGTACGGGGCCCTCAGAGGCACCTAAAGGTTAGTCTTGGGACCCCAGAGACAGAAATGAGGCCACCAGAGGCCGATGTGAGGCCCTCAGACGCCGGCTGGGCCCTTGAGGCCGGTTTAGGGGCCCTCAAATGCCGCCAGTGGAGGACCCTCAGAGATCAATGTGGGTTCTCAGTGGTCAATGTGGGCGCTTGACCGCCACTGAAGGGCCCTCCGAGATCAGTGTAGGACCCTCAAAGGCTGATTTGGGAGCTGTTAATAGCTGGCGTTGGATTCTTGAGCCTCGTGGCAATCGAATAAGTGCCAGAGCCCCATACGCCCATGGGGGCCCATTGTTTGTTTGGGGGGGGGGGGCAAATGGAGGGGCAGACACAGACATTGCTGGCCCCCAGCCTGTTTGAACCGAGGCGGGGGCACGGTCACCCTGGCCCCCAGCTAGTACGCCTTTGACGAACTATGCCGACCCCAAGCAGATCTGGTCAAGCGTTGGTCGTTTGTATACGCATTCTCCTGCACCGTGCTAGTATTGTCTTATACCTTTTCAGTGCTCTCTGTCCCGCGCATCATTATCAACAAAATGCTGCGGCACTAGGACTCACAGTCTTGTCTCTGATATGGTTTTCTTCATTTAGTTAAGGCAATTGCGGTCAATAACGCTGTAGAAACAAAAGGGAATCTTCACTAAAGGGCAAGCTGAATAGTTGTCAAGTTCTGGTGTTTAGGGTACCGGGTGGTAGGTACAGACAGACACTTAAGTCAGCAAAAAGTGGGGGGGCCAGTTAACATTGCTGGCCCCCCCACCTCCGAAAGTGGGGGGGCCATGGCCCCCCCGGCCCCCCCTGTTCCTACGCCTATGGGCAACGATCAGACGTGGCCGTAATGTGAACACTAATGCGTGCTTTTTGTTCATTTGTCACCGGAAATAACGTTTTCCACAAACGTTATATCCAAACGTTACAAAATGTTTCCACAAACACCGCACGAGAATAAAAATGAATTAGGAAATGTCATAGGATGGCCGTTGTCCTGACCATCAATTTATGAATAGCGGGACACGGCAAACTAAAATGGTTATGACAGAGGGCGAGCAAAGCGGTTGAGTCTTTTCCGTGGCTTTATTTGTCCATTGTTGCTAACCGCCCTCGCTCTGAGGCAAGCAGGCATGAGTTTGCCTCCTATTGATCTGAGACACTGCTTCCCTTAAAGGGACCCTCCCACCTTCAAAAAAGTTTATGAATTGGCATGAAAGTGATGTCGCTCGGTTCAGAAAGAGCGAAAACGAATATCTACTAAATTTCACCGAAAAATATTCACCGGTTTTCAAGATATTAGACTTTTACTTTTGTTTACTTTTTTGGGATCTCCGCTGTTTCTAGCGACTTTATTTTAGAAGTGCGGCGTTTGCGGCAAATGTTGCGCGCAAATAGCATATACCACCGCGTGCTACAAAACGTTTTAGTCAAACATTTAAAAATCGTTGGATATTTGCGCTGACGTCACACATTCAGAGGGGTATTCCTAAGCATTAGCCCCTCTGAATCAAAATGCTGCAATTTTGAAATTCAATATTTCCGATTTAAGGCATTTCTCGATGTTGTGAGTGCCGAAACCGGTAATTGTGAGCCAGGGACCCCATTTTGGCTATCTCAACTCAAATCTAATGTTAAGGTGGGAGCGTCCCTTTAAGTCAATTGTATACAATATTGACACATGACGGCCAGGCTAACACAGCAAAAAGCACAGCTGCCACGCGCCAAGGACGGAACTGTCACATATTCGAAAGTGTTTCTCAATAAAACAATATCCAGCGGTAGATAAAACAGGCCACTCGCCGAACACTGCACGGTCAAACCCTGAAACCCTTGACCATCCCCTCCGACGTTGACACTTTTGGATCGCCATTCACCGCCGTTCGTATAGAGACTGACGGCTAGGGAGCCAGAAGTTTCAGTCTGTTGTTCAATAGGATGTAGTCATAGGTTAGAACAGAACGGACCATCCAATACTATCTTTCCGGTACATCAAGTCCGGTGCAGTCAGTTACACGGTGCAATCAGTTATACGGTACAGTCAGTATACGGTGCAATCAGTTATGTGGTGCGGTCAGTTACACGGTGCAGTCAGTTATACGGTGCGGTCAGTCTGATACGGTCAGTACGGTCAGTCTAGTAAGGCTAGTACGGTACGCTCAGTCTTTACTGGTCAGTCTCATACGGTCAGTCCGGTACGGACAGCCTGTAGTACGGTCAGTCTTAGTAGGATCAGTCTAGTACAATCGGTCCGTTACAGTCAGTGCGTCACAGTCAGTCTAGTACGGTTAGTACGATACGGCCACTGGCCAGTCCGATACGGTCAGTCCGGTGCTGCCAGTCCGGTACCGCGGTACAATCAGTCCATTACAATCAGTCCGGTACGCTCACCCCTCACTGGTCAGTCCGGTGCGGCCAGATACCAGCGGTACAGCACCGCCACATACATGAGCATCGCCACCACTATGAAGAGATCGTCCAGCAGGCCGATGGCGCCGTAGACGGCCTCCGGCAGCAGGTCAAACGGCAGCACCAGGTACACCAGCGCCATGAGGAAGCACATGACGACGCGAACACGCAGCAGGAGGAGCACGCCGCCGGGACTGACCGCCTCGCGCCAGAGGTGGCGCAGCAAACACGGCACGTCACGGATGTGCTCCAGCCACTGTAACACAAATACGGCACGTCACGGATGTGCTCCAGCCACTGTAACACAAATACGGCACGTCACGGATGTGCTCCAAACACTGTTACACAAATACGGCACATCACGGATGTGCTCCAAACACTGTTACACAAACACGGCACGTCACGGATGTGCTCCAGCCACTGTAACGTAAAGACAGCACGTCACCGATGTGCTCCAGGCTCCAGCCACGCGCCAAGGACGTAACATCACATGTTTATGTCACAAACATCATAAAATGTTTATGATCTGACTTGACAACTGACGAAGTTTGGATAGTATGTGCACGGAAGAACTTCTAAAAGTCATTACAAATAAAACAGTTGCGCGATTGTGGCTGTTACTTTTATACCCAGATCTAAATTTTGTATTTTTATCAACGCCAACTCCCAGCGACTGTTACAATCCTTCCTTTCCACGACCCGTGTCAAGCCGGCGCGGGTACCGTGGGACGGCCGGCGAGCGGCGTCCGTCAGAGGGTAGTCAGGGGCACCTGTGCCTGCCCGGCACATAACACCGACGCGCCGCCCGCTGCCGACTCCCCGGCTCGTCACAGCTCACTGCTAACGGCCATTAGCACCAGAGCACGAGATCCGTCTCCAGCGCCGGAGACGGTCGGAGGAGAGGGGAAATGGCCGCTATAGCCGGCGTCGGACGAGGCCGTCCCGACAAACACCAGCTGCCCCGGGTAGGGCCTGGGAGAGGGGTGACCGGGCGGCAGGTGGAGGTGACCCAGGGAGGTTAGGTGGCGGGCGGCCCCTCAAACAGCACACGAGTGATGGAGCCCGGGAATCACGTGATTGTTTGCCGAACTCTCCCCAACTGGGAAGTGTTTGTAATCCAAGCGTCAGAGAGCCGAAAACCCGGCGGAACACGGTGCTTTGTGGAATATGTGCATGGTGCATGTGCAGTTTACATCATCTGTGATGATGTGATCTTTCGCGGCTGGGATGGCCTCTGTCTGGTCATCATCCGACACCAAACTGCTCTCTCCACCCGACACCAAACTGCTAGTTGCTACCTTCTCTCTCCTCTCTCTCTCTCTCTCTCTCTCTCTCTCTCTCTCTCTCTCTCTCTCTCTCTCTCTCTCTCTCTCTCTCTCTCTCTCTCTCTCTCTCTCTCTCTCTCTCTCTCTCTCTCTCTCTCTCTCTCTCTCTCTCTCTCTCTCTCTCTCTCTCTCTCTCTCTCTCCACTCTCTTTATCTCTCTCCCCCCTCTCTCTCCTCTCTTGTTGGGTGTGAATCCATCCCCCTTCCCTCGCTTACCAACCATTTTGTACCAACCATTTCCTCCCTTTCCGTTCCGCGCACGTTTTTTCTCCTCCATCCCAGCCAAAACGCTTTCAAAGAAGCTCACGTTCGGTTATGTATTTGGTACATCAGCCAAACTCCGTACGTCAAAAGTCACGTAAAAAAAAAAACAGCCCGACAAGTGCCCCGCGGGCAAACACCGTCCAGCACGGCCCAACGCATAAACGGCCTATCCTCGGGCTGGGGGTTTTGAATGTCTGCCGCCACGGACACCAGCCCCTGGCGCAGGTGCATTGCCTCGAGACGTAGTCGCGGGATCTCTCGCCTGGTGGTCTCCTGGAAATGAGAGGATATTGGTTAATATTGCACAGCGTCTTAACGGGAGAAATAAATAAACTACGGGTAAGGAAGAGATGCGAAGAAACACAGGGTAGGGGGCACCAACCGAGTACCGAGCCAACAAATCGACCACATATCTCAAGTGAATGAGCCAAAGAAAAAAAGACATTTAAAAACGTTAAAATAAGAATAGCTGTCGGGCAAAGGTTTAGCGCTTAACAAGAAAAAAGCGGAAATCCTGAATGGGAGGCTCTGGAACAATACATAAACAGGAGAACTTTATCGACCAACAACAAACATACAACAACAAACAAGTAACTCACCTTGTCAACCTGGATTTTCGTGATTTCTTGGCGCTGCTCGTCGATGATCACATCCCAATGATCTGGGAGCGGCGGGTCAGGCGTATAACGCGGGATCGGTGACCCCGCGGTCGCTGATGTGATGACAAAGTGTCCCCGGAGGCGGAGCCCTCAACTCCGGCGATGGTGACGCCGGGCCCCGGGGTCAGCGGAGGGCTTCGGAAGGGCATGTTGACTCTCCTGCGTCTCGATACAAAATAAATTGTTCTGCTGGGCCGGGTCCCCTTGGACCCGCACAAAGGGAGCTGAGCCTCCGAGGCAAGGAAGACATTCATTAGCATCTTAGTGCAGACGGGAAGGGGAAAATGGTAAGGGACCACAGCCGGCAGAGGCTCAGTGGCGTGGTGCTTACACGGACACCTGTAACCCGCGCCGTGCCGGTATACGGCGCAAACATGGCGCCAACTGCCCCGGGCCGGGGGTGGGTGGGGTGTCTGAATACCAGCTCGTCTAACTCGGCTCCTGGGCCACGTAGTGACACGGGGTAAGCGGAATTCCAAAGGGCGTAAAAAAAATAATGAAGAAAACTCTGCGGTCATTTTTTAGGTCAGGTCAAATGTCAGGTCACCAGAGGTCATCAAAGGTCAAATTTTGTCTACTCCAACAATTTTGGAAAACTCGGCGCATAACTCGAGAACTAATAGAGCTACAGCGCCGCAAAAACGCATTCGATAGCTCCTTCAACGTTCTTTTGCAAACATGTCCCCAGATTTGACCTCAAGACAACGGTTTAGCCTCCAGAGGACAAAAGCTTCAAAAATGGCAGTTTTATGGTAATACGTTTTGTAATAACTTTTGACTCAGAAAGGGACATTTATTTTGCCGGCATCGTGCTCCTCTCGTCGAGACGCGTCGAACAAACTGTTAGTTGACCTTGACAGGCCATTTTAAAAAATTTGACCTGAGATCAAGGTCATGAACTGACTTGAAAATGTCATGTTGCATATCAGTCGATCCGTATCGTCAAGATGAACGGATCTGAGGTGTTTTCATCGCTCTAGCATGTCTCTATCAAAAGTTATTGTAAAAAAAAAAACTCCTGGGGACCTTTCATGACATAACATGACCTTAGGGACACCAAGAGAGGACAAGAGTGCCATTTTTCGGTTCAGCTTGTCAAGTTTGCCTGAAAACCGATGTTTGAGAGTGTTTGAAATGACGTTCGTCCAAAAGAGGCCTTGACTTATAATGGAGAGGTCGCATAATTGACCTGACCTTAGGTCACCGATATCAAAATTCCAAGATATACATTTCATACAAACTGTTACTCTTATCAATCTCTGAAAGGTTAAAAAAAAGACTGAAAGGCGATCGTTCAGTCTCTAGTGTAGGTCTATAGATCGTTCAAATGTAGCTATGACGAAGATTCTAACCTTTTCTGAGGTGAGGTCACTTAACGTGACTTGGCGATCTTAAGAGACCTATGTCTGAAGTTTTTACAACATGTGCGGAAAGATGCATAAACAGGTGTGCCAAAAACGGTGGCACGGAGCTCCGCTATTTCCGCGCCGCCGAACCTCATACGAGTAGCAGCCACACTTAACGACGTTCTAACAGGTCCCAATTTCCTGACTTATGGGTCGTTGACCTGACCTGGAAGGTCAACCAATGACCTAGGACCTTAAAATTGGGTAGCATCGGCTTCCTCTCGTCACGGGCAATACGCTCGTTTTTACTCTAGCTTGATCAGGGGCCAAACGGCAAGGAGGTCCAACGGACCCCCTCCTACATATATGTACATTCGCGGCTGGCAAAACAGCGACGCGAGAGAGCGTTAACCCTCGCCGGACCTATTGGTTTTCTACATACACGCCGGCCGGGGGGGGGGACGGGTACGACACCCCCCCCCCCCACTCGCCGTTTCGCCCCTGGTGGAGCTAGCACGTCGCGGAAAAAGGAGCGTGTGCGCCGCTACGAGACGCAGAGATTGATAACCAATTTAAATGTCCTAGGTCACCCGGTGACCTCTGGGGTCAGGTTAAGTGCCCCAAGGTAGGGTTCCGTTTTTGGTGAATAACTTCGCAAAAAAAACGGCCGCAGAGCCACGCTTTTGGAAGCATCGTGTTCGCCTTGCTCAGGCGCGTCGAATGATATACTTTTGTTTGGGTGAGGTCACCTTAGGGTGTTGACCTCGGGTCACGGTCAGGTCAGTGTCCCCAGGTCACGAAATTGGTCGAAGGTCATGTCGCATATCATTCGATTCGGCAGGTCTTCCTGAGTCCATTAGTGGCTTTCCTGGCCCGCTAGCTGAATTTCATCGGGAGTTATTGACGAAAAACTTATATGACCCTAATGACATCATAAATGACGTCACGCAAGGTCAACATTGCAAGAGTAACGCATCGACCCTTGCAAGGAGTGCATGAAATCACGATTATGTGTGCATGAGATAGTTGGAGTTCGTTCGCGGCGCCAGAATAGCAGTTTTCATTTTTCCCATTGACTTATGATTATGAGGTCACGAAAATGACCTGACCTCATATGACCTTGAGGAAAAATCCGAGATGTACAAGTGGTGAGACTCCTAGTGGATACTAGGTGTAGGTCCTGCAAGTTTCATTTCCCTGTGAAAACTCCTCTGGCAGTGAGGGCGTTGCGAAGTTGCGACATCTGAAGACCATGCAGAGGTTTACTTATGACGTCATAGGCCAGTGACCTGACTTGACCCGAAAATGCGATTGGTGTCAAAAGATCCGGCTTGAATCAAGGGTCAGGTATGCCAAGTTTCAGCTCTCTGTCGCCGGCGGGAGCTATCGCGAAAAATCCCTATGGGGGGGGGCGGCACCCGCCCCTCCCCCTCGGCCGGCGAGGGTTGAAAGATATACTGTGTGTCCCGCAGGGGCTTACTTTACGTCATTCTTTATTGAGCACCCTGTATGTCCTTATTCACTACCAGGCTCATTACTATCCGACGCTCAAAATTGTACATATAATCCACTGTCCTTACCTACAGTGAGCGCTGTGCTAGGACAATTGCTTTTCATTGAGACAACGAGACTACATATTACCGTTCTCGGTGAACTGTGTCTGTGCGACAGCACTATACCTAGCACGACATAGTCCCTACTCCATTTCTGGGCTGAATCCCGAGTTTGGCATCGACACCGATTACGTACGAAAGCTCACCGATCGTCGACAGATTTGCATCCATGGGGTCATGAAACAGGTCGGCGGAGCGCCATTCACTTGCTTGGAGTTGTGAATCCCTCCATTCAAATATAGCTATCTATAATCATTACTGTACAGCTCACTGAGAGCATGCACCACCCGGTCTGAAAAATTACGGCTAAAGCCATCTAACGGATGGAATGGGTAGTGTGCATTGCGGCACGGCATCTGTAAAAGCCATCTACGGGAAAAATGGATACACGTGCCGTGCGGCACAGCATCTACCAGGCGCTCTACGCGAGAGCCATCTATGGGAAGAAATGGAAACACGTGCCATGCGGCACAGCATCTACCAGGCGCTCTACGCGAGAGCCATCTATGGGCTGAAATGTAAGCACGTGTCGTGCGGCACAGCATCTACCAGGCGCTCTACGCGAGAGCCATCTATGGGCTGAAATGTAAGTACGTGTCGTGCGGCACAGCATCTATTAGGCGTCCATTGCGAAAGCCGTCGTAAACTAAGATGAACGGCAAGCCTTATAGCCGGGGAGATGAAAGTGTTGGATATACAAACCAAGACGAATGTAGCTGCTAGACGCTTTGGAGAACGTTTTATAAGTTCACCGTAAGATCTATGTAACAAAAGTCAAGATTTAGCGTAAACATCTATAACGCCTTCAGCTTTGATTTCAGCAAATTAGGTATGTACATACATAGCTACAGCCCACCGCTAAAGTAAGTGCGGTTTTACCAATCTCAACGGATGGCTTTGACTGGCGATATTTTAATGCTGAGTGATCGATAAGAAGACGTCAATAGATAAAGTTGCTGCGTTGCAGCTGCAAGGGTGACGACCTACATTCATTGTAATCTGGCTAACCGCTCCTAAGCTTCAGAAGCAGGACATACCCACAGTGTATAATTATATAAATACATATATACACTGTGGACATACCCATGACTGAAACCGCACATTACTTCTGCTGTGGACTTTACCTTGAAAGCATTATACGGCAAGACCGCATAATGCGTTAAATGTGCACGAGCTCGGAGCTGGCAAAACCTATTATCTCAAATGAGTCACAGGTACACGAGAGCCACCTACTGCAAGACCGGGTGCGTTCATACTCCTGACAGACAGGTGGCGCACCAGGCAACGTAACTACACCACTACCTTGCTGCGCGACAGCCAATGGTCAGTGCAGTGTTCGGTTTCTCGGCTATGGATTCACGGGCAACGGCTGTTGTGGCTTGGGCAATGGGTATCTAACCGCCTTGCATCGGCTATTGCCTTATTTGCTAGGGTGTGCCGGGCTATTGCATGTGCAACTTTGGAGAGTCAACATGGTCAACAGTCAACAGACAACAAACACCCCTTTACGACGGGCACCTGGCACTGCCCTGCACCGGCCGGGCCGGGGACGTGCTCGTCTATTCGAGCCCGGTCCGGTGTGAATTGGAGTCACTCACCGGTCGCGGCAGGCCGGAGAAGCGCCGGTTGTACTCTGTTACGGTGCGCCGGGTCGCCGACCGCACCGAGACCGCCTCCGGTTCTGTGCAGGCCAGTTCGGTGTCAGTGTAGCAGAGGAACAGCAGAGTCACCTGTGCAGGTGAGGTGTCCGTGTGTGAAAAGTGCCACCCGAATTGAAGCACTGCAGGCCTGTGATGGTATCCTTGTTAGCGCATATAACTTTCAAAGGCGATTAAAATCCCGAATATCCATTGGCGAGCCACCATCAATCACAACGCTATTTGTCAGTGCGCTCGCCCTAGTGTTCGCCTCTTTGCTCACCTGCTGCCGACAGAGGGGACAGAGCATGGGTCTCAGCGGCTCGCTCTGCTCGCGGTGCACGAGGAGGCACTTGGCGCAGAACAGGTGGCCGCAGCTGGTCTCCACGGCGTGGCGGCGCCCCTCCAGACAGATGGGACAGAGCGGGTCGCTGCCGGTCACACTGGAGCGGCGACGCCTCCCGCCGGACGAGGCCGCCCGCTCCGGCATCAGAGCAGCGCCCAGCGAGCTTCAGGGACACCGCGTGGGGCCATACCGATAGAGTACATTGACCTTCGACATCGAGACTACGGAGTAAACCAGTTCCATTCTTCGGTGCATCTTAAATGCTTACATTAACGCAGGTTAGAATTAAAGAGCGTTTAAGCACCATAACAGCATGTTCTACTATTCAAGTGATGAAAACGGACCTAGAGCAGGTTATAGCGAATTAGGTCTAGAGACCGGAAATGGACGCTAAAAATGTTTTGATTGCGGTTTGCGTTCGCCTTGAATACTGATACAGTTCCGCTCAGCTGCACGGTCTTTATCTCACCACACACTTCTGAGACACACACAAGAGTTGGATCGGATGGCGTAACAGTGAGCGACTTGCTCATATTTGTGAGTCGTCTGGCGTCAAATTAAATGAAAAATGCGGCTCAACGTGCCTAATATTGTGTCCACTGTTGTATAATATCCATTATCCAGCAGATAAAAAAAAAACAAATTCCGTCACACGGCAACTGAGTCACCGATAGAAGAGTGATGACGCTTAGCCAAGGAAGTATCGCAAGAAAAGCGATCGAGAGCAACGTATCAGCGTGAGGCCACACTAATTGTTGGAACATACCAAACATCAAACATTCTTCCTGAGCAATATCTCATTCTTTCGTGTTTCCATCCTAATAAGTTGCGACCCCGTTGCTAACGGAATCGTAGGAAATATATGCACGTGAAACACATACGTGCGCGTGCCGAAATACCTATTTATTGAGAATGATGTGAAAACCTTTTCACGACAGACTGTATCGGATAAAAAATTTTACCAGAGGTATACGTTTCACAGACATTTCTGAAGATGAGCGTCTATTAACAACTAGATGCAAAATTCATACAAGTCATGACACGATGATGTCTACATATCCGCCAGGTTCGCCCATCGGAGTCTTTCACCACCGACAACAATGCGTTCAGTGATCATGGAAACAATGAGCAGTTCAACGGACCGCAAGCTGCACTTCCTCGTGCCTCAGCTTGCCGATACTCCATTTCTCCATACAACACAGCATAAAAAACGGACACTTCCCCCTATATCACCCACCCACCCATCTTCCTCCCTCCCTCCCTACCAAACACGGACCACCCAAGATGGCTCACCCACCGGCTGGGTGCTACGCCTCAGCCTCAGTCTCCGTCTCAGTCTTCTCGACCTTGGGAGAGGCCGGCGCCGCCCCGGCCAGCTGGCGCGCGTGGTCCTCCTCCTCTCTGAGCGCGTCCGAGGCGTAGCGCGCCAGCAGCTCGCGCTTCTTGCGCTCCACTAGCGCCGCCTCCACCTCGCGCTGGGAGGGCACCGGCACGTGCGCCACGAACCGGGCCGGCGCCGAGGCGTGCCGCTCAGCCTCCTCGTCACTATCGTCGGCGTCCAGCGGCGCCTCCTCGACCTCGGCCGGGTCGGCGTCGTCGCCCAGCAGGCCGGCCTCCTTGCGGCGGCGCCAGTCGGCCAGCCAGGCGGCCACGGCCAGCCGCTCCTGCTGGCGCTCGCGCGGCACCAGCACGCCGTCCTCGTCGTCTAGAAAGCCGTAGTAGTCGGCGTCGATGTCCTTCATCAGCTCTGCGCGCGTCTTGCGCGGCGGCGGCGGTGGCTCCTGCTCGAACAGCTCGCGAACTCCGGGCAGATCTCGCGCGGCACCGAAGTAACGATAACCGCGGTTTCCGGGCACCTCACGACCCTCGCGGTCCAGCATTTTGGGTCCGGTTCGCGCATAGTCGGGCCCACCCAGCTCCTTGATGCGCGCCTCCCAGTGGCCCTTTTCGCGCAGCAGCTTGTTAATCTCGTCGTTGAGGTCGCGGATGCGGAACTCGCCGAGTCCGGCGTTCTGGATCTGCGCCACCTTACGCGCCACCTCGCGCACGATCTGATTGCGCCACCGCTCGGCGTCGGGCAGCTGGTCACACTCGGAGGCCAGGTACGGGCGCCGCGCGCGCTCCGGCGCGTCCTCGGAGTGCGCCTGCCGCCAGCGCGCCAGCGTTGTCATCGCCTTTTCCGCGTTTCGCGCCATCACAACAGGTTATCTGTGGAAAAAACAGGAATTATTTACAGGATGTTTGTGACGCTGTATTGATGTACTATTGACTCCCTGTATCTTCCACTAAACAAAAGTTCAGGTGAACATGACAACGTAAGTACAATGTAGTCAGTCATCCTCAATCTGATGTAAAAACCTGACCTACACAGTCAGTTTGCACCAGCATTTTGCTCAGAACACTGACACCACTGGTGTGCTGATTCTTTCTTGATGCATAGTGAGTAGGTGCTGGGCAGGGCTAATTCTCTACCATCTGTAAACAGTTAAAAAAAATCACCCTGTATATGTGGCTGACTGGGCCCAGAAAACTTTCAACCATGAGTGGGACTGGGATTACAATATACGAATACTGCATGGGGGAGCGGGCAATAGCAAAAATATTGCCCGATGTGACGTCACTGTCGCCCGAGGGTGAAGACCGAAACAAGTGCTATTGCCCGAGGCGAAGCCGAGGGCAATAGCACTTGTGGAGGTCTTCACCCGAGGGCGACAGTGACGGTACAGAGGGCAATATTTTTGCTATTGCCCGCTCCCCCATGCAGTATTCGTTTTATTACATGGCCAACTCTCGGAATCTTTACTTAGTACCTACTCATTCATCCCGTAATAAAAAAATATCCAAACACAAATATCATGGTACAATTGAATGTATTGGATATACAATCATAGCCACGTCACATGTCTACGGCACACACTTAGTTGTTTTCTGTTTTCTGTTTCTGTTTTCTGTTTCACGCCGTACTTGAGAGTGTGGAGACTCTTCGATTTGTAGCGTTCGCCGTCCTTGCGTTTTACAGTAATGAAGAACTCCTTCACAGCGTTGTCCAGGACATCGTTGCTGTGCATGCAGCTTTCAACAGATATGCCTTTTACTTGTAAGAACTCAATGAAGACGTCTTCTGCTGATTTAATTACCTTTTTAGTGCCCTGAGCCCTGCGCGATGAAAATAGCTCATCCAATTCATGCGGCTCCAACAAATTAAATCGGGGCATTTGAACGGACATGTTCAAATGACGGCCCAGTTCTAGATGACTTGACTAGCCAATCACGAAATCAAACTGAACAGTCTGAGAAAACGACGATAAAATTACGACATTTGAATTTTTGTTCAAACACCACTGCGCGAGCAACTTACTATTGACCGTTGACATGGCAACCGCTTCTCACCTTCAGAAAGGTCAGTAACCTGACACTGAAAGGTCAGTAACCTGATGCCGGGCAATAGTAAAAAATATCTCATGCCAAATTAACACAGGAGCCATGTAATAATAATAATTGGTTGAAGTTCAGATGGAGCATGCACACTATTTCCATCAATCAGGTTTGATGACATTTGTAGGGATTGCAAAAGTATTGTCCTAATTGATACCCTGGGCTGTGATCCATCTCCAGTAATCATAATAGAGCTGCTTAGAGAGATAACCATAGCCTGCAAAGTTGAGCCAGCCAAAAAAAAAAGAAATATATGGGTGTTGGATTGCCAATTTGCATAACTAAAAATTGAGACCTACCCAGAGAATCAAGAGGTTCATGGAATTAAATCACACCTTGCTACCATGTACCCCATAGTATTAATTTTGAATGTGTGTACTGTGCACCCTTCATCGGTACAAATTTGAACTGTGTGCACCGCCAAGACTATACTATACAAAACTAAGACTAAGCAAGCCTAATTGGAAAATGAAATAACATGAAAAATACATAGAATTAGGGTATTAGTACAGTAGACATCACATGAAGGTTTTCCCACCAAGGAGAGGCACTATGCATAGAGATGCTTCTTTCTAACCAAGCCAAAACAAACCAAACCAAACCTAACCTGCCCTAACCTACAACCTACAACCTACAAACATACAACTTGCAAACCTGCAGCACCTCTCCTTGATTGGAAAACCATCATGTGACATCTGCTCTACTAATGCCAAAATTAGCAGGTTTCATGATTAATCAAAATGAAATTGATAAATTGTGATAGAAATGAAAACAACCAATATCCAGCATGAGCAGGAATCTTTATCAAAGATAAGCTTAATAATTATTCACATGACAGAAAAAAACTGCAAAAATTTGACTTCAAGAAAACCTATTAACATTATTGGTTCTGAGCCTATTAATATTAACCTATTAATATTATGCCCTATCATGGTAACACATAGTGTGGACTGTGGTTTTTTCACCAGCAATATTTTTAACTAACTTAACCAAACGCAACTCCGGTACAAGACCGTTTGAAGAATAAAGTGGTACCTAGGCATCTTGAATCAGATTAAACAACTGTTTTAGCAAGCATGCCTCGCTGAAGAACTTGGGGTATTAGTATATATTAGGTCCGAGTGGACAATTGTGACGCAGTTGATACAAATATGCAACAGCAAAAAATTTAGGTTTTAGGTTAGGTTAGGTTGTAGGTTGTAGGTTTTAGGTTTTGGTTTTAGGTTTTAGGTTGGTAGGTTGGTAGGTTTGTAGGTTAGGTTAGGTTAGGTTGTAGGTTGGTAGGTTATAGGTAAATAGGTAAGGTTAGGTCAGTTCTTTAAGTTTCTCAGTGCTTGTGCGAGGATCATATTAAAGCATTTTGATTAATGATTAATTACCTTACCCTCGTAGTTTGAAAAAGTTAGATCAAAACACTTGTTTATTAATAATTTCGAGCACAGCTCTTCATCAGAATACAAAGCTTTGTATTCTGATTAGCTTTGTATTCTGATGAAGAGCTGTGCTCGAAATTATTAATAAACAAGTGTTTTGATCTAACTTTTTCAAACTACGAGGGTAAGGTCATTAATCATTAATTAAAAGGTTAGGTCAGGTTTGATTATGTTTTTTCTTTTATTTCCAGGACATATAAGTATCATTTTTGGATTCAGGATGTCAAATAATGTAAGAATATGAAAACTTTATCTTTTTACAGTCACTCGGACTCAATGTATACTTTTACCGAACTTGGGCCAACCAAACCACTTTGCAAATTAAGGGAGCAATTCCTAGTAATTTAAGTAGGTTGGCTTCTTCACCTTACTCACCTGTTGAACTCACCTGTTAGGTTTCCTTGCTCATTGCCCAGATGGTGGTAGGGTTATTAGAGACAGGAAACCGTGTCGAAGAGAGACGTGCCAACCCGGACAATAGATAAGCAGGACATTCAGAACTGGACTGTGCAATTGTTAAGGGTTGGAATGGTACGTCTGCTTGGGTGTAGTTGTTGCTGATGGAGGTAGTCTTTGTGCAATTTGCAACAACAAAAGAAGTGTTGACTAAGATGTGCGATGAAGTGAGTAACATATGGAGAATGAGATGGATCAGAATGGATAGACAAGATAGTGAGGATTTGGGGAGGGAATTAGGAACAAGGGCGGGGATGGGAGTCCCTGGCGCGTATAACCCCACTCTTGCTTGATAAGAGGGGGCGCCTACCAGGGACAGGCAGGATTGATTGGGTGTGTTTCTTTTTCAGCTACTGGAGATAATCAAATAGTCGACTTCCGAGACAGGTTCCCAAGGCAGACTTGAACTCCTTCAGTGTCTTGGATGTGACCACCCAGGTCGGCAGGGAGTTCCAGTCTTGGACGACACGCTGGGAGAAGAAGCGGGCTCTGGCGTCAACTTGACTGCGGCTCACTCGGATTTTGAACGGATGACCTCTTGTACGAGTGTCACGGGAGATATCCCATAGATCTGCAGGTTGTATTGGACAGTTTCCGTTGAAGATTTTCCAGCATTTGATCAGGTCAGCCCTCAGTAGTCGTCCCTTTATGGAGTAAAGGTCGAGCGTTCGTAGCCTGTCCCCATACTCTTTGCCTTCAAGTCCCTTTATCTGGCGGGTCCATAGCCTTTGCACTGATTCCAGCCTTTTCCTGTCCTGGACATATCCAGTGTTCCAGACAGGCGACGCATATTCCAGAATAGGCCTGATGTGCGTTTTAAGTATGTGTATCATAAATTCAGGTTCTCTACATACTGTGCCTTTCAGGAGGTTGTGGGCTACGCCGCCGGCTTTCCTTGTCACTGTTCTGCTGTGTTCATGAAACTTCAGTTGGTCGTCAACGAGTATTCCAAGATCAACCTGGGCGACTGAATCGGGAAGTTGACGTCCATCGAGGGTATAGCTGGGTCTATCCAAGATGTGTGAGCGTCTCTTGAAACGAAGAGTGACACACTTCTTTGAATTCATGTGTAATCCCCATGACTTGGCGGTTGCGTGGAGAAGGTTGATATCAGATTGCAGACTTGCAGTGTCACGGCCGATGTTCGAACTATCAATGCATGTGTATATTTTGAGATCGTCTGCGAATATCTTGTAGTGGCATTTAAGGTTTGTCGCGATGTGGTTAATATATATTAGAAAAAGAACTGGGCCGAGGACTGACCCTTGGGGTACACCACTTTTGACGTATCTTGGTGCGCTGTACGCATCTTTGACGACCACTTGCATCGATCTGTCACATAGAAATTCTTTGAGCCACCTTAGAAGGTCTCCCCCGATGCCTATGTGCCCAAGCTTGTCTAGCAGAATATGGTGACAGACAACGTCGAATGCTTTTGCAAAGTCGAAGAGGATAAGATCAACTATTTTCCCTTTGTCGATCTCACTTGATATATACTCGTAAGTGGACAGAAGCTGGTCCTCCGTAGACATCCCTGGTCGAAAACCAAATTGGTGATCGATGAAGATGTTGTTTTCATTGAGGAAGATGTTCAAACCATTAGAGATCAGTCTTTCCAGGCATTTTGCGGGGACTGATGGCAAACAGATCGGCCGGTAGTTCAAGGGATCGACGTGAGACCCCTTCTTGAAGATTGGTACCACGATCGATAGCTTCCAGAGTGAGGGGAGTGATCCTTCTTCCAGTGAGAGATGAAATATCCTGGATAGAGGGCGAGCCAGGTGAGCTGCACACTCTTTCAGAAAACGGGGATGAAGACCGTCTGGGCCCATAGCAGAATTCACGTCGAGATCCATCAGCACCTTCTTCACCTCCGCAGAGTCGAAATCGACGGATTCAAGTGCTCCATCACACTGTTGGTGAGGTGCTGGGTGTGACGGCACTTCAGGTCGATACACACTGGCGAAAGCTTCGGCAAAACATTCTGCCATCTCAGTTGGACTGTCAGTTGTGGTGCTGTCAGGAAGTCGAATTGGTCCTACTGAGGAGCGGAACTTCTTCTTGCTGCGGAGGTGAGCATGTAGTAGCTTTGGGTTCTCCTTCATCTTCAGAAGTAGCGACTTTTCATATTCCACTTGCGAGTAGAAAGTGAAGAGGTGAAGCTCCTTATTGATTCGCATAAATGAAGAGAGGAGATCTTGAGTGATGTGCGATTTACGACCATGTAGAGATCTAGCACGCTTGTATTGTTGCCATGCCCTGGTACGTCTCGTCTTGAGAGATGTCGGAGGATTAGTCTTCCAGGGGACTTTGCTCTTTGGTTTGTTGCGATTAGAAATGGGGATATATTGGCGTATCAGTGGCTGTAGGACTTGAAGGAGCCTGTTGAAGGCCTCTTCTGCGTTCAGGTGCGCAAGTTCAACATCCCAATCCACCTCGCTGAGGACGTTGTTGATATTATTGTATTGTCCTTTGTGCCAGAGTATGTGACCAGGTGCGTGTGATGATGAGCAAATTTCTTTGTCGAATGTGTACTGACAGTGGATACTGCAGTGGTCACAGCCAGGTGGTGGGGGCCTCACCTCTACTTCATTTATCCTGTCTGATTCTGTTGTCAAAATCAAGTCCAGTATGTTCCCTGATCGTGGAAATGTTGCCTCATGGATCCACTGGGTGAGTCCAAGTGTGTCAAACAAGTCCAAAAACTTCGAGTCTGATGAAGAGATGGGCTTCATAGAATCAAGTGACCAAGTGATGGTCGGTAGATTCAAATCTCCAATGAGAATGAGTTCTTTGCCAGTACATATTTGACGCAGGAATGCCATTAGCATGTCATTCTGTTCCGGTGAGTTCGAGGGTGGCCTGTATACTGCAACCACATGCAATTCCAGGGCGGACAGATGAAATATGATGACATTGGGGTAAGATGAATCAACATCCTCAACTTGAAGTCTTTCAGAGATGTATGCGCAAACACCATGTATACTTGAGCCCCCACTATCATTGCGCAGAAGTGAAATACTGCCTCTGCTTACCTTATACCTTATAACTTATTGTTATGCCAAAGTTATATCACGTTCAAAATTATTTACCTCGACACAGCAACTTCTAGGATTCTTAGCAAATTCATCTGTACCGTGTTCTTGAGGTAAGGCGGAGCACGCTAGCAGAATAATTTGATGCTTTTGATTCGCTAGTAAGCGGATTACTATGGAAACAAACGCTTTTGCGAGTATTTGTGATCCCTCAAAACAGTGAAGAGACATATTTTATCTGCGCTATATTTGTCTTAGAAAGATTCCATCAGCTGATTTCCTTTCCTAACATCGGCAATGCAATTGTCGAACCAAGTTTGATTTTTAAAAAAATATATGTTGCAGGCACTTTAGAAAATCAGTCATTTTGTAAAATGCCTAGGCATTTTACAAAAAGACGGCTGTTTGAAAAATGACTGAACGCAACCAGGCTTTTTTCAAAATGGCTAGCCATTTTACAAAATGACTAGGCATTTTGCAAACTGCCTGACCAGCATGGAACGTAGATCCCACTACAGATACTATGGCCAACAGTTTTTGGACGTCTTCCTACACCCTATAGGTACGTGTTCAGCCTGTAGCTGATCGATTTGAAGCTCTGTGATGACGACAATGCTGAGTAACGACCAGGTTGAGTTGCAGACTCGGCTGTAGCATAAAGCATTGTTTAGTTAACGCTGTAAAAACTCCCAAGTACATCAACGCCGTTCATGTTCTGCCTGAAACTAGACCTAACAAAACCAGCCGGAGACCGGCCCTAGTCAATAGGCAGGCCCGGTTGATGTACAATTACATGTAAACAAATGAGTGTAGTCTTTGTTTCATTGTGTCTTTGTTTGACAGCTTTGAGTACCTACTTGCATGGTCCCAGTTAAAAATATCAAGCTACACATCGGGAGAATCATCAGGTCGCTTGGCGTAGGACGAGAGCGTTGGTTTCAGAAGACACTAACGCCTGAGTGTGTGGGATCGAATCCTCGCGACCTCTAATAGTTTCACAAATACAGGCCGGCATAGGGCCAGTCGTTGGTTGACGCTCCAGATTGATCATTCTAAATCCAGCAGCGTCGCTGAAGAGGGGGTTGGAAATGTCGCGGGCCTGCACTTCTCAAAATAGAGGTAGGTATGGACTTCTCACTGCTGGACTCCTCTGGTCATAATGCTGGACTCCTCGGTCCACCTACACGCTACCAAAACGTATATAATTAGGTATACTCGTATCTACAACACGCTGCTCAGTCATTTTGTAAAATGGCTAGGTATTTTGTAAAATGCCTAGGCATTTTGCAAAATGACTGGAGAGTCAGTCATTTTGTAAAATGCCTAGGCTTTTTGCAAAAAGCCTGGAAAATCAGGCATTTTGCAAAATACCTAGGCATTTTACAAAATGACTGATTTTCTAAAGTGCCTGCAACATATACATATTGGACGGCCGTTGAACATGTGAGGGTGATTACAGTGGCGGCGGAAGGTAATTTTGGATGGGGGTGCAAAGTTTTCCCAAGGGGCCCCTCTGGAAGTTTTGGGCCCCCTCCAGTGTTTTTTCTTTTCTTTTTTTGAGTGATCATTAACCCGCGCCCCACTGGGGGGGGGGCTATTTATAGCCCCCCCTCCCGTTTTTCTGCAATAACTTCCAAACCGCTTGACGTATCGCCGCCAAACTTTCAGTACCTTCGGCTGCATTAATTTGACACCTTGTGTCAAAATTTGAACTTCGTAGCTACCATAGGTCGGCCGGAAATGACGTCAGAGTGACGTCATGTTCGGCCGATTTCGACGCAAAACATCGAACCACGGCAATCGCTCCCAAGGGCTCAGTTTTTAAGCTAGATCCAATTTCTTTGCATGAGAGGACTCAGAATTGACTGCGCTATCAAACTGCTATCTCGGATTTTCGAAATTTTGAAAATTTTGAAAATTTTATATAATAAAATTCAAAATTTACATTTTTACATTTTTTCCAAAACGTTTTTGACTTTTCGAAAAACCCGGAATATATGTGATAGAACGCGTTATTATGACTAACTCTAGCAAGTTTCAGCTAAATATCTTCAAAAATGGCCAAGTTATACGCATTATTGCAAAAAATTCACAATTATTAATTTTTCAAATCAATTTTTCACCACGTATTTGACATCGTACGCCAATATAAATAGCACCATCGTGTTCCTGAGCTCAAACTGCATCCAATAGACACCTTTTCTGTTGAAAAATTATAACTTCAAAATTTGACCTTTTTTGACCTGAAAGTGACCTGACCTAAGCTAAATTTGACTCAAAATGACCTCGAATGACACAGACGACATCAAATTCGAAATCTTTGGCCTAAATGGACCATAAAACATGTGTCACGTGACCGACGCATGATATAATATTTTCGTGACCTGTGATGACCTGACCTTGACCTGAAAATCAAAGTACAAGTTTGGTACCCTCAGGGTATCTAGAGCATCTGTTCACGAGTGTGTGAACCAAAAATGAGCCTGATCTGACTTGTAGGACGGCGGCCAGAGCCCAAAACGTGAACAAACCAAAATGCTAATAATTTTTACTTTGACCTGACCTGTGACGTCATCGGTGACCTCGAGGTCAATGAAATTAGGTTTCGCTCGACAGTTTTTCCGGGGCTATCAGACGCCGTTTGAATTTTGACGATCGGCCCAGTAGTTTCGGAGTTAGGAGGGGGGGCTATGAATAGCCCCCCCCCCCAGTAGGGCGTGTTATACGCATACCCCAGTGGGGCGCGGGTTATTGATTCATGAAAAATTAAGATTTTGGAAAACTATCCCCATACACACAAGTTCTGTAAAAGGTTTGAAATTGCAGTTTACTGTATGCCTGGCCTATTCAAATACATTAGCCTGAGGGGTGTGGTAATAACTGGTGTAAGCAAAGTGACCACGGTCAAAAATGCATTACCAAGTCAACATTTTGGGATGGCCTCGTTCAAAAAACGGCTAAGAGCTTCGGTCTATAGTTCGTTTTTTCTAAGTTCGACCCTCACTGTAAACATCTTTTTGAACAAAGCACGAGAATTGCTAGCTGAATTACTTAGAAAACTGGTTAGCGCACATTGTACTGGAGACATAAATAATATTTTCCAAATAACTTTTTATCGCCGATGATATACCGTTCTGTTAAACGCCGTGCGATCTATTGATCAGTTCAGTTATAATTTCTGACAAGACGTCTATCCCCGTGAGGCTGTAGATAAAGACAAATACGAGCTATGAGCCTGGAAAATAAGAGCCAGGAACAAATCATTTTGAGTAAAATTAATCGTCTGTGAAATCAATGTGCGCCAACCAGTTTTCTCAGTAATTCAGCTAGCAATTCTCGTGCTGTGTTCAAAGAGACGATTACAGTGAGGGTCGAACTTAACCTTCGCCCCAGTGGGGGGGGGCATATGTTACCACCCTGTCGCGTTTTTTGCGTGTGAATAAAAAACCGCGGCGCGTAGCGCCGCGCCGCTTGGGGTAGCTTTTGGTACATCAATTTTGGACAATGTGTGAAATTTTTGACCCCAGGTCATGTCAGGTCAGGTCACCAGGTCAAGTTAACTGACCAAGCCTAAAAAAGTTTGCAATCATGTCCAGCCTGCAATGTTTGTCAGAAAGGTTTTAAACTTGGTGGATTGCATGCTGTTATGGGCACCTACAATTTGTATATCTCGGATTTTTTATATCCGTGACCTAAGGTCAGGTCAGTGGCGTGACCTTTCCATTACAAGTCAATGGAGAAAAATGAAAATGCCTCTAGATCCGTGTGTACGCATCGGAACAGTCCAAATATTTCAGAATCACAATGATTTAGTCCACTCGTGACGACCAAGGGGTCATTTTTTCTGATAGCCTCTAAAAAGGTCATCCGAGGTCATTTGAGGCTACAAACAGTTTTTTGTCAATAACTCGCGATTGGAAAGAGATAGAACGCTGGGGATGGTTTCATTGTGTTTGTCTTGTTGAGACGCATCGACTGATATGCAACATGACCTTTTCCGGTCAGGTCATGACCTTGACCTGAGGTCAAATTTTCAAGTTGACCTTTCAAGGTCAACTTATAGTTCATTCGAGGCGTCTCGGCGAGGGGAACACGATTCTGGCAATAGAAATGTCGTGGCTTTTTGTAGTCGAAAGTTATTGTCGAAAAACACTTTTCGTAAAAACGGCTATTTTTGGAGTTTTTGCCCTCTGGAGGCTAAACCGTTGACCTGAGGTCAATATTGATAATGACCTTTTCAAAAGAAGAGTTCAAAAGCTACCGATTGCTGTTCCATGCGTTTTCCTAGCTATCATAGTTCCTGAGATAGCGGCATGTTTTCTGAAAAATATCATGACAATTGGCAAATTTTGACCTTTGATGACCTCTGGTGACCCCAATATTGCTCTAAGGTGAAAAATGACCGAAATACTTTCAAACGTACGCATTGAGAGCTATCGACCACTTTTTACCGCGTCTTTCTAGCCCTCTTAGTTTTTGAGTTAAAGGTGGGTGGTAACATATGCCCCCCCTCACTAGGGCGAAGTTGGCTGAGACCGCCACTGGGGCGCGGGTTAAAAAAACGAACTATAGACAATTATTTTATCGTTGGCATACTGTAGAATACATACCAAACTCGGCCGGTGATAAATTTTCAAGACCTCAGTCCTTACTGATTTTTGAACTCGGCCTTCGGCCTCGTTCAAAAATTCAGTAAGGACCTCGGTCTTGAAAATTTATTTACACCGGCCTCGTTCAGTATTATATAGTACCTACCTATCTCAAATAATGAGAAAAGAAGTAAATGCAGCTAGTTTTTTATCGGCTAATCTTTTAGTCTAGCCACCACCCGCAGCGTCTCAAACCACTTTTCTGGATCCGCAGTGGACCATTGAGTGCCCTACGAGACCGTTCCAAGAAGACCGTGTTTAGATGCCCCTTGGAAACCGACCACATAGAGACTCCTCCAAAGACCTACATGACTCCCCAGACTGAATGAGCCCTCCGATCACAGTCGGTCCCTTGAAAGTTGCTGAAAGGTTTCAGAAGACAGTATAGGCTCGTCTTTTTGTCTTTTGTCTTTTGAGGGCTCTCAGAAACCGGCATCGGACCCAAAAAAGCCTGTATGGAGGCCCTCCAAAGCCGGGGTGGAGGCCACAGGAGCCGATGTTTAGCCTAAAGAGCCGGTATGGAGGACTGAGTACATAGAGGAAAGGGGTCTCAGTGGGGCCTTCGGGGGCAAACTTTTGAGCCCCAAAAGTATGTGTG